TGGCACAGCGTGGACTTACATTGTCTACTTCCTTTTGCCCCTGCAGCCTGCCCAGGACTTTGGGACATTTTTCTCAGCAGTGATCGATGACAAGGTGAGCTCATGCGTCCTGCCCCTGCTCGTGCTCAAAGCTAACACCGCCAGGCTTCCGCTCATTGTTTGGCTGGATGCTTTTTATTGCTTTCAGCAAAGTGTGACTGGGAAGTTCCAGCACTATGGCATGGGGTGCTTTTTGCTCCCCTCAGGAATATTGCATGTCACTACCCCTCTTGAGAAGTGGGTTGTTTGTTGAGAAGCCCCTCATGGAGGTAGGGTTCAGAGTATCCAGGGCTGTTATTTCCAGCTTGCAGCCTTCCTTCTGAAGCTGGAAAGCGAGCAAAGAGCAACATAGCCCCAAAAGGCATTGCCCAAAACTCCTTTTCACCCCCCAGCTCCACACTCTGTTCATTTTCTTCTCTTTCCTCAGTCTTTTGCACGTATAAAGAAGTGGATCGAGCACGCCAAGAAGTCTCCCAACCTCACCATCTTGGCTGGAGGCGGCTGCGATGACAGCGTCGGGTACTTCATTGAGCCCTGCATCGTGGAGAGCAAAGACCCAAAGGATCCCATCATGAAAGAGGTGAGAGTGGGAAAATCATGGGACGTGGCTCTGCGTCTTGGGGTGTGAGTTAACTGGATTTGTAGGATAGATAGATGCGGGGATGGTCCTCTTCCATCTTTCTCATGGCTTTGGCTAATCTGTCACTCGTTTTTGGAGGCTGTGGGTTGTACAAGGAGGGCTGTGCGCTTGGCTAATTTATTTTTTTGCTCTACAGGAAATCTTTGGCCCCATCCTCACCGTGTACGTCTACCCAGAGAAGCAGTACAAGGACGTCTTGGAGCTGATTGACACCACGACACCCTATGGCCTCACGGGGGCGGTCTTCGCCCAGGAGAAGTGAGCACCCGGAGCCTGGGAGGGAAGGGGACATCCCGGGGGGGTCAGGGTCCTTCTCCCAGCCTGGACCCACAGGGCTTCGAGTCTGAGATGCTTTTTTGGGTTAGATGCTGGTTTCGAGGATTTTTTTTTTTCCTATGAGAGGAAGAGAATAAGAAAATAAAAAGTTATTTGATGGCCTAAGGAGAGGAGCTAAGAAGCCTGAAATAAAATACTTTCTCTAAGCTATGAGGAAAGGCAGAAGCTTTTTGGGTAGTATGAAAACCAAGGTGTTTTTTGTTGTTGTTGTTTGTTTGTATTAACACTTTTTGTTGTGAGAAAGTTCCAGGCTACCATGAAGCAGATGGGGATCATAATTTTTCAATAAATATCTAAGAATTAATCATATACTAGTGAAACTAAGAGCAGGCGTTGAATTACTAGCTTAGAAGGTCGTTAAGTCAGGCTATCCTTGGACTTAATTAACTTCATTTTATAACAGCAAATCTTGAGGTAAAACATGAAAAGAAATGCAAAGTTGAAATGAGAAATTGCAGTCATTTAATTGAGCTTTAAGCACGCAGGTCCCTTTGCAGCGTGTGTCAAGCTTCTTTTGTCTACAAATAGCACATGTGCAAAGAAACACAAATACTGGGCACCAGTGCAGCTACTGGAGCAGGGCAGAGGCCTCCAAGTGTGCCTTTGCCATCCCCTCCTGCTTATGGTCCTCTCCCTCCCTCCTCAGGAGCATCATCGAGGAAGCCAGGAGCTACTTGCGCAACTCAGCTGGCAATTTCTACATCAACGACAAGTCAACAGGTGCTGTTGTGGCTCAGCAGCCCTTTGGGGGCTCCCGCATCTCAGGTGAGACCAAAAAGCTCTCCCAAAAACGTATATAATGGGGCAATGGGACACATCTCCTCTGTCCATCTCCTTCACCTCGTGGTCCCTCTTTCTTCTTGGCACAGGAACCAACGACAAACCTGGTGGTCCGCACTACATCCTGCGCTGGACATCTCCCCAGGCCATCAAGGAAACCCACGTGCCTCTGCGGGACTGGCGCTACGCCTACATGCACTGATGCCTTCTCCTAATACCCGTGCCTCTACTACTGAAGCTGGACGCACACAGTGGCTCCTTAGCCGCAGCCTTGAAAGCACTTAAATCAGCCAATCTTCAGCACAGCAAGCTAGGGTTTTATTTTTAGAGACTAATTATATTATTAAATTGTTAACTTACACCAAAAAAAAGGTCCCTATGATTTCTTAGTCTTGGAAGAAGCAGGCTGTGGGTGACTGCAACAGCAGAGATGCTTTGCTGGTACCCGAGATCCCCAGCCTGGGAACAAGAAGAAGCAAGTCGTCTGCAGTAGCTCCACAATCATTTGAGAAGTGATTTTCTCTCTGTTACATGCTTTAAGAAGGTAGGAATAACGCTTTTTCCAACACGTAAGGATTTTTCCATTACTTAGCTCAAAGAGTAATAGCAACACACCTCTGCAGAGTGCTTTGGGCTTGCCCAGCAGCGCTGAATCCTAGTTCTCCTTTATCCTTCTGTCCCTCCACTTGACCTCTCCATCCAGCCATGCCCTACCTGATGGGCTGGGAGCGCTGGAGCTGGAGCAGGGAGCCAGCATTCAGAGGCTGGCTTGCAACCTGGTCACTTGGAGAAGAATCATCCTGTCCAATAGACATCATTTACCCCGGCTGCTCCATCAGGGAGCCTTGCACAGTGGAACAACGAAATTCAAGGACTTTCCAAGAGGGCTATGAAGCCTGGCTTGGTTTAAACCATAGTGCCAAGCAATAGGTAGCCTTGAGCCGTGTATTTTCCTTGGTCCTAAGCAAGAGCTAAGCCTCCAGAAGTCACATTTTGCCAAGAGATGGCAGCTGTGAGCTCAGAGCTGCTCAGGAATTGCCCACGTGCCTTTTTTCACTGAGAAGGCACTGGCCAGAGCTGCTCTGATCCTTGGATGTTGGCTGGAAGGAAGCAGAAGGATTTTAGAGAAGTTCCACTAATGTTCCTGCACAAGCTGCTTAGGTGGCTGCAGCATCCTTAACCCCCAGAAGGAATTTAGGAAGAGAGGCCAGGCCTGCAAGAGGAGGTTTGCAGTAATTAGAAGCAAAATCTGTTTCCCAGGTTGTCGTGCTTGGCCCAGGACCCTGTACCTGAGGCTCTGCAAGCTGCTGAGTTGTGAAGTTGAGCATTAAGTTGTTAAATTTGCTGTTCTTTCCCATCAGCAAGCTCTTGCTGAATGAGTCCTGCAGTACAAACTGTAACAGGGAGCTCGGACACCGAGTCCTGCATCTTCCAGGGGCATTTCTGATTTAGAAATGTATCCATTTGTAACACTGCCAATTACTGGCCAGTCAATTAGCACGATTTACAGATAATGTGGCTAACCCTTTTATGGCTGCTGCAAGTTACTTGGCTTGTAGGTCAAGAACGAGTTGTGTTAATACCTGCAAATCCGGGTTTAACTGATGAAAATTGCAATAAAATGCATTATGAAGATCTTTTTGTGTCCTTTTCTGAATTATTTCTTCAAATTGTTGCCAAAGGAAGAGAGCATGCGTTTGGTACCTTAAATGCATGCAATGTTGTAGGCAAGGATAGGCACAATGAGGCATTGCCCAAAACTGCTGCCGCAGCATCTGAACAGGGCGTTGATCCTTTGCTCAGTTTTGGTGCCCAGCTGCAAGGTCTCTTCTTCACCCTGCTGCATCCAAAGACAACCAGCTCTCGTGTACATCAATTATTCCTTTTTTTTTTTTAAAAAAAAAGGAAAAAAAAAAAGAAAAATACCGTCTTGAGCAATTAAGCCTTTTCCAGAGCAGGACTGGGCTGGCATTGGGGTGGCTGTAACAGATGTCTCCATCCCTGTGTTCAAGAAGTTCACAGGCCAGGAGGCCACCTAGCCAGGCGGGACCCACCACAGACAGACCAAACAGAAAGGCCAAGAAATGTGGAACCAGGAGCTCGCCCAGTGCCTCGTGGCATCCCAGCACATCAACTATGGGGGAGACCGTTGAGTTCAACACTTAAGCAAACCATCAACATCATCATCCAAATTGCCTCCTAGCCTAACCCCAGGCTGGGAGGCATGAGGAGTGCTGCTCTGCATAGGTGCTACTCGGGCCCTGAGGGGTTTGGGGGAACAGAAGGGTGCTGTGATTCTTTGCCATGGGCAACACAACCCCTTATCCAGGCTTCAGAGAGCTGAGCTGTGCTCTGGGTGTTGAAAAGAGGAGGGGATGGAAGGCAGCATAGGCAGGGTCACCCTTGGTCACCTGTGATGCCACAAAGCATTGTCACTTGTGGATGCCCACGACTTGAAGGCAAGTGATTTGAGTTTGCAAAACTTGCTTACAGCAGGGTGGGCAGATGCCCTCAGGATGTCCCTCTGGGTGCAGGATGCGCACTCGGTGCCGAACTGCCTGCAGTTGATGCCCAAGACCCTGCTGGTCCTGCTGAGCAAGCGAGCTCTCCTGCCCCATTCCCCAGGCATTTGGGGTGAGCACCCCAAATACACCCCACCCCCTGACGACATTCCCAACCCCCCCAGCTTGTTTAAATCTCGTTAAGGGCTCTGCCCCCCTCTCAGGGGAGCCAGCGATTTGGGGAGTTATGGCGAAGGCACCGAGTGCTCGTCCAAGCCACTGCTTTCGGCTCACGCCTTTTAGGACTTAAGGCCAGGGTGTCAAGTGGATTTTTAGCCTTAACTCTGAATTTCATGGCTTTTGTCACTTCAAATCAGACCCCTAATGCTATTTAAACAGTTGGCTTTTTGAAGCTGGTAAGGTGTTGGGGAGGCTGGAGCGGGGATGGTGGGGCGGGGGGGGGTTGTGTTGGTGGTTCCTGAGCTTTCTTAGCAGCCCCCGGGGATGCTCCCCTGCCTGCAGGGACACAGAAAACACATTGCCTTCTTCAGGGAGAGAGGGTGGGGAAAAACCCCAAGGATAGCCAATAGCTCCATCTGCTTCCCCTTAGCAGCTCAGGCTGGAGCTCATTGGCAGCTCAATGCACCTCGTTAGGGACCTCGTTAGGCGAGGCCAGAGTGAGCATGGTATTTCTTGGATGGAGCCCAGCTGTATTCTTCCTTTTTCTGGTGGGAGATCTCACACCCAACAGGCTGAAGCAAGGCAGAAGGGGAAGAGGAGGCAGCACCGAACTGTTCATCCGCTGGGGGAATGAGCGAGTGGGAGAGGCTGCAGGTGAGAGCCCCACAGCAAGGCCCACGCTCCTCTTCGTGCCCCAAGCAGGGATGTGCCTGCAGCTGAAAACAGTGAGAGGTGAGCCATGGCCATAATAAGAGCAATTGCAGTGCTAATTGTAACTTTATTATTATTATTACTAATTTTTTTTAAACGTTTAACTCACTAAAGGTTGTAACAGCCCAGCATCAGCTGCCTTCAGTCCTCCACTTTGGGGCATGGGATGAAGAGGAGAAAAGATCAGAGGAGGAGAGAAAATCCGCAGAGAGCCCAACTTCAGCTCCTTTCCCACAGCACAGATGGAAGCCCCAAACAGCAAGAAGGGGATGGGATTTGAATGTTGGCCCTGTTCAACAAACAAACCACACTTTTGAAAGGCTGCAGCCAGTGGCTGTACTCCCCAGCCCCTCCAAAAATGCTACCAGCTCCTGCAAAGTTATGGAGAGTCTTCTAATATTTAGCATTTTTGTGCTAAAGCCCCAGGTCCTGGAGTCATGAGAATACAGCAGGATGTCAGCCTCCAGCTAGAGTAAATAAAGTGTGGATTCCCATTGCTTGGGCCGGCCCAGGGAAGCCGAATAACGTGACCCCTTAGGGCCAGAGGAAAATCATGGAAAGCACATAGAGGGATGTGGAGGCAGAGTGCTGGAGGCTGGGGATCAGCCTGGTCCCACCTGTTGCTCCAGGGTCTTGCTTGTGCCATCCACCAAAGAGCTCCAGCTGGGGAAAAGGAGGCAAAAAATATTCCCTACCACAGCACTACATTTGATTTTTGGTTAGCAAATGATCCCAGCAGTTCACTTCCCATCAATTTTGTATGGCCACACTGCCCACCAAGCCACTTGGACCCATGGGGCCGCACAGCAGCCTCCATCCTGGGTCATCTGAGGCCAAGCACTCCCCAGTCTCCCAAATACTTCTCCCGCAGGGCACATCGGCCAGAGCTCTGTGGCCTCGGCGAGGCTCATCCCCATCCCGGCATTCCCCAGTTTACCCCAGGGAAGGCTCGTCTGGGAGCCTGAATTATTTTGGAGCCAGCCTGCTTGAGAAGAGGAACAGGTGAAGGAGGCCGGCAGAGCCCGGGGAAGGCCCCCCAGGAGATAAATTACTCGCTGCCTTCTGACGGCCTCGAGGTTGGCTCGGATAAACCAGGCGTATGACAGCAGCGGGAAACCGCAGCAAAGTTGGCCTGGGGCAGCTCGGGATTAAGAGGAAACTTCGGCATCCGCCAAGCCTCCCGGCCTCTCCCCGCCAGCTGCCTCCCAGAGCTTTCCCCCCGGATCCTGCCCTGACCTCCCGTCCCCTCCACTCCCGGGGGCTCAGCACCAGCCACGCATCCCCTGCCAGCACCGTGCTGCGTGCCAAACATCCCCCCCCGTCCCCCCCCCCAACATCCCAGCATTTGGGTGTTTAAAATGTATCAGCGGTGCCATCGCGGCTGCTGTTTTTCATCCTTCAGCGATAAGGCATCTGCGTGTACACAGCACCCAGAAAATTACTTACAAACAGCAGCTTCCTCCTGCAGATCCCCCCCCCCCCCACCAATTATTAATATTATCACAGAGGCAGACCTGCTCGGGTGTTGTTTTCATTTAAGATATTTTTTCCCCGTTCCTTTTTTTTTGTGAGTATGTTTGTGGTTTTTTTTTTTTTTTTTTTGATTCTACACCCCACATTGTGATCGCCGATTGGAGATCACAAACCTGACATTTCGGTGCCTGCTTTGCAGTGCCAGGCGGGCAAAACTGCCGGCGACAATCGATTCTCCCTGCATCGTCTACCGGTGCCATCCAAAACATTTAATCAACGCAAGATCAACCCTTCCGGCAGCTCTCGTTCGCTTTATTATTATTATTATTATCATCATCATTCTTTTTCCCCAGCCTCTGAAAATATGCAATGCCCTGAAATGGGGCCTGTGGCACGAGCATTTTTGGGGGAAGAAAGAAAATATGCCTGGAAGGCGTGGGGGTGAGCCGGGGAGGGTGGGTGGGTGGCTGCATCAGCCCAAAAAGTAAGGGTGATGGCCCTGTGCCCATCCAAAAGTGCATGGCAGGGACTGGGGAGGGGGGGGGTAGGCACCAGAGAGGTTGGGGCTTTGGGCTCCCAGAGAGAGCTGCTGGGACAAAGTGTCCCTGAGCATCCCCGCAGGCTGGTCCTCAGCCGCTGGGGTGAGGTCTCTGCTGCCGGTGGCTGGAATCTCACCGGGGAATTGCCCAAAGGGAATCCTACAGGGACGGTGGTGAACTGAACCCCCATGCTGCATTTATGGCAAGCTCCTCGTTCACAGCCACCTCTCAGCCCCCTTCCTGCAGGTAATCCCCTCCTGCCCTGCGGGTGTGGAGATGTGCGGACCCATTTGGCAGATCGGGGATGCTGAGGCAGCAGGAGGGAGCTGGGGAAACAACAGCCCCCCCAGACCCCTCTGCTAACTCACTGCAATCAGCAAACCGGCCATGGGGTCCCCAGCCCTCAGCTCTAGCCGCCAAAGTGACGCCTGGCCCCGAAGAATGCGTCCCCCCCGTCCCCACGCGCCGTGCCCTAATCCGGGGGATGTCTGCAGACAGCTGCGCCTGCCCCAGCGGCCTGACATCACCGGCCAGCTATGAAAGCACTGCCTTGGCAAAGGGCTCCTTCTCCAAGGGTTTCCAGGGGAGGGGGGCCAGGGACGCCCACTCTGCTCTTAACCCTCTGCTAGCAGAGCGGGAACATTCGCCTGTCGCTTGCTGTGCTCTGGTCCTCCAGATGCAGCTGGGTGACAGTGGTATAGCTGCGGACGGTTCCCACTTGCAGCAAGGGGATGGGATGTCAGTCACAAAGTCCTTGCAAACGTGCCCCACCCCCCCAGATCTGTCTGCTCAGGGTTTTCTCTGGAGCCATCAATCAGTGCGGGGACATGATCGTGTTTTACAGTCAGGGCTGCTCGTGAAACCCAAGCTCAGCGCAGCAGCCCCAGCTTTGCTCGGAGGAAAATCATAGCTGTGGCTTTCAATCCTTGCAATGGGTGCTTGGAGCAGCTCTGCAGTAGCCCCAGCTTTTTGGATTTCTCCTCTCCATCCTCAGCTTCTGGTGTGGGTCAGGTATAGCCCAGGCATTGTTCAGTCAGTGCTGCACAAGCAGGTGACGTGCGAAGAAACACGGCTGTGCCTTCCCGTATGATTTACAGCCCATACTTGCTAAAAACAAGGCTGCACAAAACACAGCCAGGTCTGCATGTGCTCCCCTCCCCATGCTGCTGCTCGGATGCACACAGGGAGAGAGGCAGGTGAAGTTTTGCTACTCGTGGTTCCTTTCTGCCCTCCATCCCTCTACAACACAAGCATCCTTTAGGCAAGTCCTTGGAAACACAGTTCTTTGTCAGATTTCTATCAGCAATGTCATTATTAATAAGCTAAAACCAAAGCAGTGCTCAGGCAGGGTAGCATTGGCTCCAGAAAGTTTACCCTGGGGTGCCAGCCTCTGTGCACCCCCCCACCACCACCCCCAGAAGCCTGTTCCCAGTGTGATGCCGTTCTCTGGGAATCGCTCCAGTGGCTTCAGTTGTGCTTGTTCAGGAACAAAGCAGGGTGACAAGGAACTGGGTTGAGGAGAACTTGGGAAGCACTTGCAGCCCAGCCAGCCAGGCTGAGTGGAAATGAAAGGTTGGACTAGATGATCGTGGAGGTCTTCTCCAACCCGAATAATTCTATGAAATCTGCTCTCTGAAGCTTGCAAATGAAAAACAGAAAGGACAGAGGGATGCATGCAAGTGGAGGATGTTTTTTGGATCCCTGTGAATGTTTTGGGACCACTACACGCTGGGTGCCTCCTGCAATTCTACCGTCTTTTCTGCACCAGGTGTTCACTGTCACGTAGCACCAAGCAGCTACAGGGAGCAGAAGTGGAGCCTGAAGACCAGAGCGTGCTTTCAAGCAGCACCAGCCAGAAAACAGCAAGGCTGCTTGATTCATGGGACCCAAGTGACCCTTGGCAGTGCCTATGGAAATGCAGAGGAGCTGCACATGTTCAGCTCTTCCACTATTCACACGCTTTGGGAAGGAGCCAGGGCAGCTGCTGTGATGTCAGGTGCCCACACGGCTCCACATCCACGGTCCACCACAGTTATGACTGACCACATCCATCACCCACCACGTCCATCACGCACCACGTCCATCTGGGCTTTGCTGGTCTCCTTGGGACAAGCAGGGGGTGCAATGATTAGCTACATCAAATGAGTTGCTCACAGGGCAGAGCTGCGATGCTCTGAGGTGTGAGGTCTCTGCCTTCACAACCAGACCTTGCTGGCAAATGCTGCATTATAAATGAAGAAATTTGCTGGTGAAGAAATCAAGGAGATGAGATGAAAGCTCTTTCTACGCTATCAAAAATAGGAACCGTCTGGTTAAACCAGGGTTTGTCAAGAAGCTGGCTCCAGGACTGTGCAGCCTTGCTGGGGACTTGCATAGCCATGGCTCTGCAGCCTGGAGAGGTGAGGGGGGTGGTGGGAATCAGTGAGATTGCCCCCAGAATGGCAGCAAGAAGGGGTCTGCCCCCTGCTCCTGGCTCAGCCACTGTGTGCTGTTGGATGTTTAGCCCTTGGAGGATTTCACGTTCCCTGTTAGGGACTGAATATGAAAGAAGAAAAGAAGGGAGGAGGCAAAATAGTTGTCTTTTCTTCTACTTTGGCTACTAAATTAGGAACTGCTGGCCTGTTTGCACAGCTCCAGTCCCATCGGTGTGTGTTGAGCTCCTCAGAGGACATCAGTGCCCACCGAATCCCTGGATCCCAATTAAGATTGATCTATGCCAGCAGCTCAGAGACCTGCTCCTGAAGCCCGGAGCTCCCTGAGCATCCTTGCGCATGGGGCAGTATCTTTGTGGTGCTGATTTACTGCAGCCCAGGCTGCGGGGAAGGTGATAATTCCTCGCCAACACCTGCATTTGCTGCCTCCCCCACTTGTCATCTCCTTTTAACCGCAGCCGATAACTTGTCACAGGCTCCTGACGGCGTTTCAGCCCTGCGCTGGGCAATGTGGCCAGCAGCTGTGTATGGGAAAGGGCTCATCTTTCTGCTCCAGCCAGGGAGGACCCGGCCATAACCTCCCCACTAAGGCTCTGGCACCACTTCAGACCCTGCCTCCTGCCCTGGGTGGGTGAAGCCAGCTGCGACGCTTTCTCACAGCCTGGGAAAATAGCTCAGGGCTTGGCTTTTCCCTGAGAGCCCTGAAATTCGAGTGGCCAGCGCTGCTGCTGCCCTTCCCCATCCCTCTCCCCTTCTCTTTCCCTCCTCTTTTCTCACCCGAAACTACACAGCTCTTGTTTTGAAATTAAGCGTTCTTCCTCCCTCATTAGGGGCTGGATCCAGCATCCCGTACCTTATGAGGGGTCTCAGTGCTGTACACATCCCTCACCTGCCTTCCCCCCAAATATTAACCTATTCCTTCACCACCCCGTTATTTTTTGAGACCGCAATTCCAACCATTCCAAGATGTTCCTTAAAATCCCGCTCTCCTTTTCCATGTGGCTGTGACTGCCACAGGGCAAATGTTCCTCAGGATCCTCCTCAGCAGCCCCCAGGCAAAGAGCCCACATCCACGAACCTCTGAGACCTCCCAATTGTTTAAGCCCATCAACGCCTTGCATTTTGCTGTTCTCCCACGATGGATGAAATTACTCCTTATCCCTGGTTTCTAGATGAGGAAATGAGGTGCAAAGAGATTTCACAGCTTTCAGAGCATGGCCTGGGGTTTGCTGAACAAGAAACTTCCACAACCCAGGACCACTGTTTCAGTGAGTGTACGCCTGTTTTACCACCTAGAGCCCCCAAAACACATCACAGATGATGATTTCTGTGGTTGCAGCATGAGTTTGTGGTGCTCAGACGAGTGCAAAGCCACCGTCTGTTTTTCAGCAGGGAGCCGAGGGACAAGCAGGGCTGCTGTTTTCAGGCTGGCTCCTACAGCTTTGTGCATTTGTACTTCTGCAAAATGCTGATGGCTCACAGTGGTAGTGTGCTTCCCACACATTCTGCACCACAGAAAGCTGCAGCACAAGGTGTCTTAGTGTGGAGACAGCATAAATCCCTGCCCAGGGTAAAGCAGCATCAAGAAAAGGGCATGCCACCAGTGCAGGTGGTTGGACAGGGGATACACCTCCAGTGGTTTGTGTGGGAAGGAAATATTTGTCTTAACAACAAGTTTTACTATTAATGCACATTGGCTTCCTCTGCTTTTCTCCTTGTTTGTTCTACAGGAGGACAGGGCTGGTCGAATCCCTCCAGGTCCCCCCTGGTCCCTAGCAGAGGCTGCTGGCAGCAGCTTTGGGTGCGCATCTTGGCTGCCTCCTACAGATGATTTGGGTCAGCAATTTGTCACAACTCCCCCACTCATCGTGTTTCAATGATGGGAAAGATGCACAGATGTGAAAGCTCAGTCCTGTGGCGTTGATTCGAGGTCAGATTGACAACCATACGGAGCGTGATTTTTGATGCAGGTTCAGCCACAGCTGAGAGCCATTAGCCCAGTGCTGAGACCCATCACGATCAATAAATTTGGTGGTGGGGACAGAAATGGGCAGGAAAATTCCCAGACCGGGAAATCCAACCTTTGAGACAAAGCCTGAGCTCAGAGATCCCAGTGCTAGCCTCCGTCCACATTTGCCAACCATCACTCAAACCAAAACCACTTGAAGTTTGGCCAAAACCTCATGCGCAAGAGGCCCACAGATGCTGCAGCAAAGCTGGTTTCAGCTCTGCCTCCTCCTCGGTGCAGTTAGATGAGTTGTGAGGGTTTGGGGAAGATGAGCTCTGGTGCCCTTTCCCCCAAAAGCAGTATGCCAGCGCTTCCAAACTGCCCAAAGTGCCCTGCCTCTCACCTCTGGCAGCGCTCCCAAAGGCAGGGCTGATTTCCCCT